CAAGGATGTTGGTATTACACACAAAATCTTGTAGCAATGTATGTTTGAAATATTGTAACTGATGTACATTCAGTATCTAACTGAAAAACTCAGTACCTTTTATTGATTAAAATATGTAATTCATAAATATTACTTAATTCTTCACCACTAAGAGCTATTACCTCACCTGCCATGGAATTTCTTGCACATACCACAGGCCTTGAACTAATACTCACCCTTAAACGTGTATGAATATTGTGTCATTCTATGATGTAATCATCATAATGCTGTAGCCCTTTACCAGTAGGAAGGTGACATAACATTCAAGCATGGTAATCCCCATGACACTAGCACATGATTACTTGCAAATTCTATCCTGGGCACTTCTTGTATTCAGACAAGTTTTTTCTTGTGCTTTTAGTGGCCTTTCTTTCTTTAATGCTACATTGCTTTTGTCCTTGCTATATTTTTGCTCCTACCACCTGATTACAACTTCATTTTTGATAGCCACCACATTTCTACTTTATGCTACTTGCAACAATTTATACCTAGTAAAAAATATATATATGTATAAGTCCTGAGGCCCAGACTTTCCTTTTCAAACATTTTCTCCAACTGACTCAACTGTGGCTCACTTAGAAGAGTACACATCTGCATGTTAGATTTGTCTTGGATTTCACTCTGTGTCAGAGTAATTTTCATTCATGAATAACTTAGCTTCTGCAACCTTACTGAGCTGTGTGCACCAACAAGTAAACTGATGATGTTCCTGCTTTCATGCATCAGGTGGTTGGTTTCCTTCTGCTTATTTCTTCTCCAATTCACGTCCTTAGTTATTTTGTTTCTTTGCCTTTTATGGAGCCTGCCTCACCTGTGGACGACTTTGGCCAGGTCTTCCATCTTTGGCATTTGTTTCTGACTCTACTCTCCCTAATGAGGAACAGGTACATCCAACTTCTTTGTTTACTACATTCATGAATCAGGTATGTGATATTCTCTTTTTTTTTACCTGTATATCATAGTGTCTCTTTGGTTGTTTTACTTCTGTGCCTCCTTTTGTCCCATCTCATTGTTGTTCTACATTTTTCTTGTTCTACTCATCTTTATAACTCATTTTGCTATGGTCTCAAGTCATGACCCTTTTATATTTCATGTATATCTCATGTCTTTTCTTTTTGGGGTAATCCTGTTTCACCTTCTTTGTCATTTTTTCCAGCTATCTGTTTGTTTTTGTGTATCTTTAATGTATATCTGCCCTTCACTCCCTGACTGAGGTTCTTCATTATGACCCCAGTAGTTTTAGAGGATACACCTATTCTTCTTTGCTTGCCACTTTGATACCCATTTCTTCCTCTCCTGTCTCTATTTTGACCTGGTTTCTTTGTTTTGGGGATCTCCTCTGTCAGATGTCCTCTATCATCTCTTCCTCCCATATCTTGGATCTTTATCCCAACATCTGCTTACAGACCTGGTATTTGAGTATGTTCCTGACTCCTTGGAATTCCAGGTTTAGGCTGCTCACCCTATCTGCTATTGCAGATGGTCTTCGTGTAACTTTGCATGAAATTCAAACCAAACTATACTCTATCATAGGGATGGATTGACATTGTTTCCAGTCTACTCCTCTTTTTTTACAAAAACTTGTGCTTTCTACCATCTCTTTCCCTTCTGTTTCATTAGTTTATGATTGTTATGATCCTGATCGACTTCTATGTCTCCCACTAAACAACAACAATCCATGGCAGTAACTTAGGTTTAAGATCTTTCAAGCCTCAAAGAAAATTCGGGACTTGAAAGATAACTTGGGATGGTCAGAAACTTTTGTTTCTCTTCACTCTGCACAGTGAAAAGGTTTAAGCCAAACAGATGTGGAAGAAGCCACTGGGCTTAATTTTGTTTAAATGCAATTGGTATTTTGTTGTGAGGTGCAGTAAGATGTGAAAAATGTTGGCCCAAAGTCACTGAGAAAGCCATGAAGAGACCATTGATTGGTATCCGTGGTAGAAGTGCAAGTTGTTGTTTATCCACGTGGCAATGATGTCAGTCATTGAGGAGTGGAGCAGACAGATGCAGACTGAGTGAGCAAGATTCTGTTTGAATGGTTACCAAAAAGATTGATTAATTTAGAGAAAACAAAACTTTGTAAAGTTAAAGTGGTATTATAGTTGAAATGAGTCTGTTGGACTTACAAGAATAACAGCCATTTTCAGGGTACTCGGAGAAAACCTACTTTTATGGATCAGGCACCAAATAATCTACCTGATCCATACTCGAGAAATATAAGGCTGAAAAGAAAAAGAAGTTACTGACATATATTTAAGCACTGTACTACTGTATGTTGAAGTGTAAATTTTATGTAATTGAGGTGTGATACATAAGTTTGCCATGTAGCAGGCGTGGCTGATTGTGTCTGCTTTGTTGTAATATGTTTTGGCAAGTTTGTTAATTCATTCTTTTTGTTTTCTAATTTCTGCCCTCAGAAACATAGCATAACATAATATTTTGGAACAACATGGGACCTATTGGCTGGTCCATCCTCAAAACTAGATTGAAATGATTAAAAAATAAATAAAATAAAAACATTTTAAACCCAGGCCTTTTCATTCATATATTTATAAAGCTTTTTCTTAAACTCACTTCAATTTACTGCCTCCAACATCTGAAGGCAACCTATTCCAAAGACCAACCACCCTGTTAGAAAAATAAATCTGTCTGAGCTGAAGATGGCTCCTACCTTGCCAAAATTTATACTTGTGTCTCCTAGTCCTACTATTCTCATTGTTAAATATAAAAAAAGATTATACGCCAATACTATCAATTCCCTTTACAATCTTAAACACCTAAATCAGATCCCCCTAACTCTTCTTTTTTAAAGAGAAAACAATTTAAGATATTTCAACCTCTTCTCGTATGACAACCCCTCCATCCCAGACACCATTCTAGTAACCCTTCTCTGAACCCTATCCAACAATTCAATGTCTTTCCTAAGATAAGTAGTCCACAACTGAACACAATATTCCAAATGTGGCCTAATCAGTGACCTGTATAATGAAAGGATAACCTCTTTAGACTTTAATTCAGTATTTCTATAGATACAAACTAAAATCCTATTTGCCCTACCACTAGCAACAGCACACTGCTTGGATGGTTTTAAAGACTGATTGACTATTACACCAAGATCCCTTTCCATCATAACACTATTAAGGTTATTCTCATCCAAATTATACTTATAATTCAAATTATGATAATCCACATGCATTATCTTGCATTTATTATAATTAAAACCCATCTGCTATTTATTTTCCCAACTCACTAAATAATCTAAATCATTTTGTAAATCAACAGCATCCTCTTCACAGCTAGCAACACCCAAGACCTTAATATCATCTGCAAATTTAAGTAATTTATTGACTATCCTTTCTTCTGTGTCATTGATGTAAATCAAAAATAGCAAAGGTCCTAAGACTGAGCCCTGAAGTACCCCACTTGTGACATTAATCCAGTTTGACTGAACTCTGTTTGTAACAACCCGCTGCCTTCTTCCATCCAGCCACTCTTTTATCCAATTTGCTAACTTATCCCCCACACCTATAGATCTAATTTATTTTATAAGCCTTTTATGTGGCACCTTGTCAATTGCTTTCTGAAAACCCAGATACACAAATCTACACCCTTACCCTCATCTACATAAGCAGTAACCTTTTCAAAGAATGTTAAAAGATTTGTAAGGCAAGATTTTCCCTTAGTGAAACCATGTTGACTATCCACTAAAATTCTAAACTTTGTTAAATGACTTTGCAAAGCATATTTTAACAGATTTTCCAAAATTTTTCCCACAACTGATGTAAGATTAATGGGTCTATAAATATTGGGACAATTTTTATCACCTCCCTTGAAAAAAGGAGTTAGATTAGCTAGCTTCCAATCCTCTGGAACTTGCCCACTATTCAAGGATTGGCAAAAAATAGTAGCAAGTGTCTCGCATATCCAATTGTTAACCTCCTTCAAAACCATTGGGGAAATATTATCTGGCCCAGGAGCCTTATCATTTTTTAAACTTCCCAATTTTTTCTTAACCAGCTCAGAATTAATTCAGTCATCTTGTTTGATCTCGTTTCCATTTATCAACTGGTGAAGATGTGGAATATTGCTTAAATCTTCATTAGTAAAAAATAAAAAATAAAAAATTTAATAACCCAGACATCTCATAATCATTAGATACTAGCCTTCCTTTATCATCCCTATCCTAACATTTTGTTTCCCCTTAATGTATTTTAAGAAATCCTTACTGTTAATTTGTACATTTTCAGCCAACTTTTTCTCATACATCCTTTTTGATGTCCTAATTTCCTGTTTCACCAACTTTCCTGATCTTATATAATGTTCTTAGTCTCCTGTCATACCGGTCAATATAAATTTCTTAAATTTATAATGCTTTTCTTTAATTTACAAATACATTTAAGAAATGAATTATTATTTCAATATTGACAACACTAATGAAGATGCACTTATGATAAAATACCGTTCAGTAATACTTTGTAACTAGATTTTAGGCTTGATAACTTTGTTTATGTATGTTGCTCATTAGATTCTTAGGTTAAAAGTTTTTGGTGTAAGTAGTAGATGAATAAAGATAGGTATGTAATTTTTGTAGTTTATGCATAATTTAGTGCTTTCTTCAGATTGAAATATATTACTGTTAATAATAGATACTGTACAATAATAAGTTTAAGAATTTGTATACACACACATAGTTTAGTTTATAAGAATTTTAAGAGGCATATTATGATAATTATAAGTAATGATACATATATATTGCAAGGTATGTTACATTAGGGCACTATTAATGCATTTTGCTTATTATATTATCATGACATATCGTACATGTGTTTATTATAGTCACATATTTTGCTGTAACAGTGAAGAAGTGCACATAAGGTGATAGTCAATTTTTAGGAAAGGTTTAGGCATTACTCAGAGTGTGTTTAATTTATTTACTGTTGATGGGTTATCCACTTCAGGTGGAGCAAAGTGGAAAGAAAAAGAAAACTACCACTAAAAAGAAGACTAAGTCTTCTGTGCGTACAGTTGAAGAGCCAAAATATTCAGTTTCTCACAGTGAGTTACAGCATAAAGAAAAACTTATAAAGCATAAGGAAAACCATGAGGAAATGGTGACGACTTCAAGGAGACCAGAAAAGATTACTACTAGACAATATCAAGAAGTAAATGGAGTGTCAGAAAGTGGAAAGGTAAAGTTTTATAATTTTTGTAAAGGGTAATAAGGAAGCTAAATCTTGTGTATCAGGTACGGGTTTTTGTTTGTTCTGTATTGAGTTTTTGCTTTTAATTACAGACAATTTCAGTTCATGTTTAGGTTTTGTTGGTATAATAAACTTAAAATGCATTAGTCTATGTCTCAGAAGTGTGACTGAACACACTGGAATAATTCTTGTACTGATAAAACCGTTTATAAAATGGTTGGACTATGCAAGAAACAGTATTGAAATTAATGTGTTTCTACACAACATGCATAGAATAAAAATGTTTACAAAACACTTCAACTTCTAAATCATTAGTTCTTTATTATGTAGAAAATTGTATATAATTTGATATCTTAAATTATGACTATATTGTGTTGTCTTAATTTCATTATATTAAATGGTGGGTCATGAGAACTTTAAAGTATAGTAATGTATCATTCATTAATTATAGTTGCAAAACAGTTTAATTAAGTGTTAATAAAGTTCCTCCAATTAACACAATTCATTATGACAGATGTAATATGCCCTCAGTAGATTAACAGTAAGTCTGAGGGCTTATGCTAAAAATTGGGTTTAAATATCCATGATTGGCAGAGCACAGTTAGCCTATTGCATAGCTATGTGCTTAACAACAAACATTTATAATATTGTCTTATTTTCAAATATGTTAGCTATTCTTATTAAATTTTTTATCTAAAACATCTACTTGGTTTTACATAAACAAATCTGTTTTACCCTTAACTTGTATAATAATGGGTTAACTAAGTTGCATACATTTATGTCCCAGTGTATGTATTATTATATGTCACATTAATGTTATTTACATGGAGATTATTCATAACTTTCACTTGCTGTTCTTTTGTTCATTGTCTTGAATTTAACAATTTCTATCCATAATCCTATTACATAGGTTTTAACTGCATTTTATAAGGATGATTTGCATTAGCTAATACAGTGGCATGTGAAAGCAGGTGCAACCCATGGTGTATGGCATCTATATATTTGATTCATGGGGTATTCTCCCCCATTTGAAAGGGCATTGTACCATTACTTGATTTATGATTGGAGCAAAATGTTACAACTAATTTCAAGAAAGGATATTTATATACCAGAATTTTTAAATGTTGTAGAACGAAACAAAACAATTGTGGTGAAGGAAAACTTCACTGTTCTTGTGAAAGTGAAATATTCTACGATGCAGAGTGTTTAGGGCATTAAGGAGCTCTGAAAGCACACCTCAAATGAATTGGGAGCATTACACTTATTCACATATTAAAGGTTATGTTTACAGAGAGAAATGCTCTGAATAAAAATGTTATTGTCTTAAAGTTGGGAGTATTTACTGGTTCTATAAACAAGATAATAAATAAAGAGTTGAAGTTGATGAAGGCTTAATAACCAAAAGGTTCACAAGCTTCAAGTCATACCTCAAAATCAATGTATATTTTCTTGAGAAAGAGGACCAAGCTGCAATTACAACAGTCCTGTTTGTTCACCTACATATTAAGTTCCTTGATGCAGTTCCACTAGACTTTAGTGCTTTTGGTTTGCTTGAACATTATTTTGAAAACTGATGTACACAATGATGGAATGTTTGTGAAAAGTTTGTTAAGTTGTGGATTTAAAATTGATCTTGCTATTTTTTGTAGAATCTTGTTACAGTGGAAGTTGTGGTGTTAAGCAATAATATAAATGTAGCCATCAGAATAAGCACTATTAGTGCTGTGGGAAGTAGCTTCAGGTGCATCACGGGAATTGGAACAATGCTTTTTTAAAAGTGTGTTTAACCCTCTGTGGAGAGAAGCACTTTCACAGTTTTTCTTACCTGCCTAACCAACAAATCCAACTAATAACTAAGTAGACTTGACAAATTAGTGAGAATTCTGTTTTGAAAGGTTGTTCATTTATTGTTGGGAGTATGGTTTTGCAACTTAGAAGACATAATAATAATAATTTATATGCTCTTTTTTTAATCATATGGTGGCAAAGTACATTTTAAAACAAAAATTTACAACTAAATATAATATATTAATACGTGTATAAAAAGGACCATGGATTTAATAAACAAGAATTTGAAGTTGAGGAAAACAAACCTATTTTTGATTTTTCAAACTTTTATAGCTGTATTGTTGGTGGAGTAAACAATTGAAAATAACTGCTAAAGTAATTTACTGTCATATTCACTTAACTTTAGTTTTAGTATAAGATAAAAGTGAGAATTTTTGAAGGATGTGAAAAGTTGGTTAAAAATGGGCTTCAATGTACACGAAATTGAGTTAGCTCATACATACATACATGTTTGTCAGTTTCTGTAGCACGTACATGTACATATGTTTTTGGTAAATAAATACAATTGCACTACAGGTTAGATAAATAATTGTGTTCAAAAGAAATATGTACACACACATACACATGTAATGTTTTTGTATTGCATTGAGTTAAATCACTTGTACATCTATATTTTGTATTGTTTATCGTAAACAATACAAATCATTGAGGAACTTGTGTGTGTTTGTGTTGGTTTGATTTAAGTATCAATGTATAAGTGACATGGATTACATGATTTAGTGTTAAAACAAGTTTTGTAGTTTTTGAATTGTATCTACACAAAATTAATAGAAACAAATTGTATTTAATTTTTTTATGAATTCACGACTTGCTATCAAATGACAGTATATCATACATAATATTAAAACTTAGTGTTTATCTTATTAATGAGGTTGCACTATAGCATTATACATATGTGTATAAATAAAATGTTATATCAGATTAAACATTGCAGAGAGACCTTTAATAGTATTATTCACTGAGAAAGTTCAAAAAAAGATTTAACAGTTAAGAAAAAGTAATAAGGCAGGTAATACATGTATATCATGTTGTTTGATTTAGGTGATCTCTTAGTTGTTGGTAGTATTAACAATGAACATATCTCAACTTATCCTAGAATTTTGTTTCATAACATGGAATACATTGTTTCATTTGTTTTTGTGAAGGATTAGTTGTTGACGATGTTACCATTTATGAGATCAACAGGATTATGATAGCTGTATCATTCTACGTGTACTGAACTCCTTCAGAAATTGATTTTAATAACGACATTAGTAAATAGATTGTAGCATGCCATAGCTTGTAAATATTAATCCTTGATTACAAAAGTATTTTAAAGCATTCATTATAACTGTGTTCATGATAAGCAAACATATACAAATCTTTTGTAATCAAGGATTAATATTTACAAGCTATGGCATGCTACAATCTATTTACTAATGTCGTTATTAAAATCAATTTCTGAAGGATATTATGAAGAATATTTTAAAGTCATTCATTATAACTGTGTTCATGATAAGCAAACATATACAAATTTCTTCATGTAGTATATTTTTAGATTAGTATATCTATTTATGTAATTTTATTGTTGTTTTGATCTGCCTTTTGTAGAAAACTAAATATTTCACTCTGTATTAAAACTGCATTTATGTGTAATTAGACTTGACTAAAATGAAGTAAGGGAAACAAGGGTTTATCCAAACTTGTACCGAATACAAGCCAGTTACTGATTCTCCATAAAAAAAAGGGAATTTCATCAAATGAAAAACAAATGAAAATTGTAATTATTATAAAAACTGAGATGTGTTGCAATAGAAACTCATAAGTTCTGAACTTTATAAAAATGGAATGTGCCTTTGAATTTGAATAAAACTAAGTCAATATTTTTTGTCAACAATATTCACTCCCTTGTTTTTACTACCATTATCAATAAGATTCACTAACTTGTTTTCTGCTGCCATTAGTTTACATCTAACAGCATGTTAATTTTGATTTACATGTAATATTGCAAACCAGATTCATATAGACAGTGATTCTGAAAATGACCATCAAGAAGTGAATGGCAGCATTGTTGTTTCACCAATATCTGTGGCTAAATTGGTAAGAGAGTCTTTAGGAAGGTGATATATAGTTATATATATGTGTGTGTGTGTGTTTATAGACAAAATTATTTTTCTAATATGTATTTCTATAAAGTATTTAAATCAGAGATTCAAATCAGATATACTTACCACTGAAATACTTTCTTGTTTAGTCTTTCTTGCTCTGTCAACAACCATGTACCTTTTTCTAAATGTCATTCATGCAATACATCACATACATCATCATGTCACCTTAGCCAAAATTTTCAACACTCGCACCTTACACATGACCTGATGTATAAACACTATAGAAACTACAAAAGCCGTGTTTTCCTGTCACAAGCCAGTTTTTCATGTTGACAGTTGTTATGTGAACTTCATGTCTTTGTTGTTCTACTCATGAAGTCATTGTTAGCACTGATGTTAACACTTTGGTTAATGCAAGAAATTCTGCAACTCCTTCATTTTTTTTGGAGACTTTGTCCATATGGTCTTCTATTGTGCAGAAAGATCCTATGGCTGCATTACCAGCTCATTAGGGCTATTAATGTTGAATCATCTATTGTGTGGACCTTGAGTTTGTGGGATGTCCACCTTTTTCTTGCATTGGTTAACAAGCATGATCTTTTTCCCAGGCTTATTCACTTTTGTTAATGTAGAACAAGCATTTTTTTCCTACTTCTAATCTTGAAGAAGGCTCTGCTGGTCTTATTTAACTTTTTTCTCAGGTATGCTAGTCTAACTCTTAACTCATCTTCTGTTATGTCTGAGGGTGCTGATGTTGTTATATTAGATGATTTGGTTCTTGAATTTTTGTATCTTTTACATTCTCCTTATACTTGGATTGCTTTTGTTGCATTCAAAAATCAGCAGAATGTGATTATGATACTCATATTTGTTGTACAGGTGGTCTTTTTGTGGGGTTGTCTTCTATAGCACATCTCTCTTCACAAGCCCAAGATTCCCACATTATTCTTTTGTTTAACGAAGTCTCCTACATAGTCTTCTTCTTTCATGTTTTCTACTTTCATTCACCTGATTCTTTTAATTAGGATGAAGTTTCTACTATTTAGTATTCTGCACATTATAGATGTCATTTTGTCTTTTGATTCTTGCTTTTTTTTATGTCCCTTTGTACTCCTTCAGTCTTTTTGTAATTCCTTCTCTAATCTCACATCTCTAATAGCTACTTCAATCTTGGCTTAAGTCGTATATATTTTTCTTCTTAATTCTTCTTTAAATACTACAGTTCTTTCTTTTAACTCCTATCTTAGTTTCCTAAGATGTTGTGATGTGCAGAAAGGATGGCTTCTTGTTCCTTATTGTCACTTGCTGTCCTGTCACTGGGGAATTCTGTCTAGGTTGGTGGCTGAGCAAATCCACTGGTGGCTCTATCCTTGATGATCCTGTGAAGATGGTTTTGCCAACTGGAGAGGTTCCTTTAGAGATGTACACTAGTGTTGCTTCAACCTAATTTATCTATCATCATCTGTTGTGACATGTATAAATTGGTCACATTGCCAATGAATCATCCACGATTTCATGTAGAACATACAAGTAAGTTAATTGGACATGTCTTTCCAAATCTTTCATAAGTACATATAAAGTCTCTTCTCTCCTCTGTATCTTGCTTATTTCTGTGATTGTCCTAGATAGCTTGCACTACCCATGGTACGGCCCTGCAGAAAACTCAATAACTCACTGACTTGCTATGAACTGACTGAATTGATTCATTCATTGACATTCAATTCCTCTCTGATTAAGTGGCTCACTAACTTTAATTTATATCATTATTTTCTTTCTACTTATGATGTAATGAAATTCTCTCTCTCTAGCTAAAAACATGCAAATTAAAGTATTGAAAATATAGCTTACAACAATACCATAGGTTCAACATGTTATGGCTAAGATTGCCCCATGGACTTGAGTTTGTAATGTTCAAGCAACTAAAGATAGTGATTTAGAAAACATACTATATGTCTAACTTATTAGTATTCTAAGTTATAATGATGCATTCTTAATTTACAAATCCACTTACTGAATAATGTATTGTTATTTTATCTTTTATGCAAATAAAATACAAACATTGAATTTTTATACAGATATGGTAAGTCAGAAGGAAAATTAACAGATACCTTATGTTTAAAATATGTTGTTACTACATTGGTGATAGGTGCTTAAATGCATATTGAAAGGAGACATAATATTAGGTCATAAAGAAATTAATGTAATTTTTTTTTAGATGAAAAAATCCAAACAACTTATATATCAAAACAAAACATTTATTAAATGAAATAGTCTCTATTCTTATTGATGATGCTTTTCCATCTTACAATCAGGTAGTTTAATGTCCCAGTTAAAGAAAGCACTTGGCTTTGAAGCAAAAAACATGTCAATGTCCTCATTAACACCTTCCACATTTTGCATACGTTTTCACATTAAGATGGTATTGCAGCGAATGAAAAAGATGGTAATCTGATGGTGCCATATCTGGAGAATATGGTGGGTGGGGGAGAACTTCCCAATCCAACTCCATAATCATGTGTTGCATCAAACATTCCTCATTTGGATGTGCATTGTTGTGGAGAAGAAGAACACCTTTCAGATTGACGAATGAAGGGCGTTTCTAATGAAGGGCTTGATTTAAACATTCCAGTTGCTGACTATAGATCTCTGCATTGACAGTTTGCTGTGGATTGAGGAGTTTGATGTTCCCCAAATACAAATCATCACTTTCTGCGGATGGAGTCCAGGTTTTGGTGCTGGAAGTGGTTTTTGTCTAGGACTGAGCCATTGTTTTTAGCATTTAATATTTGCATAGAGAATCCATTTTTCTTCACCTGTGATAATTCTGTCCAAAACTGGTTCACACGCATTATGCACCAGAAGAGACGAAGCAACGTTCAAACGTTATAAACGATGATCATCGGAGAGTTCATAAA